GGCACATGGTCTTAACTACATCGTCACAATCTCCACTGCTTCCCATTCAGAGCTTGGAAATCTAATATAATCAGTATGGGTCTATGTAGTCAGTATTATAATGAAGCAGACTGTGTGGTGGTCATTTTAGAAAATGTATCTGTGCGTTATATTGGCAGAGATTTGTTGCTTATTGTGATTCTCGTATTGTGGCTGCCTCTACAGTAGCAACAGCAGTCCCTTCGGTCAATAAATGGCTGCTGTGATGGTTCGCTGCGTATTTATCATGGCAGTGTCAATGTATGTTTGTGCTTTTTCAACATTGCATAGAGGCTTATGAAACTGCGAGAGGATGTGGTCACCATGGAAACTTGGTGGCACCACAGCCCGGTCTATCATTACCACAAGTATCAGTGTCAGCGGGGTTGTCTGGAGGCCAGTGGAGGTAGTTGATTGAGTTGATGGGAAAGCGGCTAACTGCTGACCCGGTGCAGACCTCTCTGTCACAGTCGATGTACTCCTGAGCTGTCTAAATTGTGACGTCTGGCACTGGTCACACAAACTGCACTTGCTGTGTAGTCTCATTTTTTTTTACCATTCATCGGGTCATCACAGTTAATAATTTCTTTGGCAGACCCAATCACTTTGATTGACTTTTAAACAAAGAGGTCACAAGTTGATGACCAGATGACCTACTTGAATATCAGCTGAGACTCAAGCATTTTCAACACTGTATCGCTATGAAGACCAAAAGCATACTTAGGCTCTCTTCACATGAAGGGCTTTTACACGTTTCTCCTGCGTTCAATCAGTTTTAACTTTGACCTTGTTTGTTTTTGCAGTGACCTTGCCTGTCCATATATAATTGTAGGTGCATTCTTTGGTGTAAAAACATAATTCATAAATTATCTTTGCTTTAATTTATGTTTTGGGGCTCAAACTGAGATGTAAATGCACCCTCTGCTCTGCCTCTGCTAACCCACCTTCCTATAAGCATACCAGCGGGGATGTGCAGAGTGCCCAAAAGCTTAGTCACACTAGCAAATCAAAATAGTAGCCACTATAGGTGGCAGGTTTCACCACCTTTTACAGCCTAATGAAGCAGAACTAACTCTTTGGGTCAGGTCTACCAGTCTACCTACATCTACAGTTCAAGGGACACTTCTCTCTGAAAAGTATGTACATCATGGTCAGGGAAAATAGGTTGTCTTTTTTTTTTTTAAAGAGGCTTAAACAATGGTGACTCCATTTCTCTGCCACATACAATACCATCTCAACATCTCTTCTCTAAAGGTTTCACAACCACTTATGCTTCTCTTTCTGTGTCACTAATCGTCTTTCACAACCTGAAGGTGTGAATCACCCACATGTGTTCAATGTGAGGGGACTCCCCATATGGAAAAAATATATATAACTTCAGTAGATGCAGAGTGAGATCAATATCCCACTGATTCATTAACCAGTCTGAATGCCATCCCTAATTGCAATAATTTATTTATAAGTTTGTCCTATGTGTGTAGTATGTGAACAATTATCAATTCATCATGTTCCTCATTCTTAATGATTTAAAATCTTGAAGGTGAATAAGTTCTTGTCTGTGTCTTAATGTTAAGGTGCTGGGAAGGAGAGCTCTGAAGTCACTGTTATCACAGCCTGAACTAGATCCAACATGAGGTATGGGACACTCACTACCTTATATACACTATTTTATTTAAGGTTAGTTTAATATTAGATTACTTAGATCACAATCACTATTTTTGAGGTCTAAATTAGCTGTCAGATAATTCTGATGCTATTGCTTTTAACTCCAAAAATAAACAAACGCAGCCATATAGGAACACAGCAAATGCATTATTTCCCCAAAATCTGCACTTTTGATGAACTACTGGACAAAAAGATATGCCAGTTAATAGTAACCTTTGGCCATTTTATTGGTAATATGATTGTTTCCACATCTTATAAATTACGTTGGTGTGTACAGAGCAGCATCGCTAAAAAATAAGCAATTAGACAAACTCTCGGGTCGACGGTCAACAGTAAAATTATGAACTGTTAATTGTAAATCCGACATAATTTCCAGATTCAACCTTGATCTACTGTACTTACCATAATCATGTATGAACCCAGTTTTCATATGTGCCTCGTGTTTTAGTTTTTTTTGTCCTGTTCCTAGATTTCTGCATTTACAAACAGCATTTGCAAACAGTTTTATTATGATGACCAAGACTACAAAACAAGATAAAATTGTAATAACCTGTAATTATTCTTTTAAACTCACTAAAAGATGGCACTCAGAGCTTTTTTGGTAGTCGCTGTAGAGAAAAAGAAAATCACTCATGACAATTTTATCCCAAGGATAAATAATGGTTTTACAAGTCATATTTTATTCCATGTGCTTTACAAGGATATAAATAATGGCCAAAATTACAAAAATCAGTGTGCTGGAAGCCCAAGCCTATGTACATAAGTTGGTCAGCAGTGATGTCACCAAATAACCCATTTTCCGTTTCCACTCAAAGTACAATCTCTACAACCTACCAGTTTTTTTTCAATTTCCAACCTTTATTTTGGTACCTTGTGTCCAGTGCCATGTACTGCAAATCCTTTATTCTTTTCTCTTTTACATTACATGTATGAACAATGAGTTGGCAAAATATCTATGTACATTTTATAATTGGATAATGTCTCATCCAAATAATACAGTAATACTGCGTTTAAAATAGTACATCTGCTAGATAAGAGTAGAGCCCCATGAGGAATGATGGAGGATTTGACCTGACAAAAGTTAGCTAGCCACCTGCAACATTCACTCTCTGTGTATAAGTATGATCATGTAGTTTCAGATTTTTTTTTAAAGGATGGCCATCATTCTCAAGCCCAAGGTTTTCATCTTATCATATCATAGAAAAATAATGTAACATTAAGACAACAGTAGACAAGAATTGCACAAGAATAATCATAATCATCATGGTAATATAATACTCTCATATTAAACATTAAAATGTCGGGCAATACGAATAGAATACTTTTTTTTAAACGCCAGATGCTGTTTTGTTCACATAGGTTCATCATCCGTTATGAGACACACCTGTTGCATCTTGAGCGTGTTGCAGCTAGTCCAATCACATTTACACGCTTGTGCATATATCTCTGTATTATTTTCTGACTTTAAAGAAAATAAAAAAACAAAAAATAAAGCCAGCCAGATGTCCTCAAACCCATGCCCATTCCAACATTGACTCATGCCCAGTGGTGCCTTTAGCAAGCCCATTGTCTGTTACCAACAGATGCCCTGTAACCACACTCACAGTCTCCATGGAGACCCTGTGATCGCCCAAAAGTTCACAGGTCATGCCTCCCAGTTGGACACATGAAACAGATCCTGCTGTAGTTGCAGAAAGTTGAGGCTGCTTTAATATAAGTGTACATTCAGAGCAGACCATCGTCTGTCAAGATGCAGTCCTGTTAGTGTGTGTGTGTGTGTGTGTGTGTGTGTGTGTAAGTGTCATGTGTCAAGCATCATGTGGATGAATGATGTCAAAATTTTGTAGTCAACCTTAAACACTGTGGAGTAGCATCCATATTTGCAGTCCTTTGAAAAGTGAGCAAGCGGGTCCTTTGTAGTCCATTTTGCATTGTATGTGTGACAAGGTCCGTGTTTAGGGCTGGCTACATTCTTTGCATTCCACAGTAATAGACATGAGCGTCCGGCATTGCCCTGCAAATGAGATGACATCACTTATCGAGAGAGCCCTCACACCCCGCCTCTCCACCGGCCCCCCTGCTCAGCAAATCTAAAATGGCCACCATGCGTCTCACAAGCCACATGCTAAACCTTTTACATACAGGATTTTTTTTCACCCCCCAAATAAAATAAGGTTTACGGCCAGGGAAGAAAATCCACGTGGTTAAAAGAATTCTGAACATATACACACATGTGCTGAAAAAAGGTGGTTCAGAAGCAAAAACAAAACAAAAAAAGTCACCTACTTCTTCCTGTATCACAGGTCAAGTTTAAAGTTGTTAAAGAAATTCACAAGTTTGTTAGTATTTTCAAAAAAATAATCTGATAGAAAGAATCAAAAAAGTTGAAATACATTCTAGTAGCCTGCTGGATGAACCAGTTTGAGTCAAAGTTAGACTGTGCTACATCACCTCTCCTGTAATTCAGCTCTCCTCATTGATTTAAAAAAAATGTCTAAAAAGTCTGAACTTTCCCTCCAGTTGTCATGTTCTGACAACTGCCCTCCTCATTGTCAGCTCCCACACTGGGCTCAGACAGCTAAAACACTGTCACAGCGCTTAGCAGTATTCTGGTTACTAATCTCATTCAAATTGTCAGGGGCAAAGTTTGACAAAGGGGCTGAAAGCGAGGGATGGAGGCAGTCAGGAGAAAAAAGGAGAGAGAGACGAAGCCAATCGGTTGCACCCATCAACAGGAAGAAAAAAAAAAAAAAAAACAAGAAGCTGGAAGCAGAACAACCTGGTTGACCACTGACTGACCGACAAACAGGAAGTGGAAAAACAGACCATTTCCCCTACAGGTGGAGACAGAGAAGTGCACCACAGCCCTGGGTTCAAAGGTCATGCGCCAGCCCTGCAGGCAGGAGGATGGAGCCCGGGCCAAAGGGGGAGAGCAGAAACAAAAGAGAGAAGAGGAGACAAGGAGAAAGAAGAGAGAGACAGCGCAGCGCCAAACGTCATCATGCAGTGGACAGGCTCGGCTAACGGGGGCGGGGCGGGATGTTTTGTTTTTTTATATTTCAGCCGGTGAGGTGACGCGGCGGCGTGCGTCGCTCGTGCCCAACTCCGGGGCGGGGCCCCAGTACAGGGCAACCTCTGAAAGGCACACACACACAGGAGTGGACAAGGCGGGTGTATGTTAGAAAATAGTGGTCTCGTACTTGGTGTTGACTCCTCTCTTGGCCTCCTGACCCGGCTCCACAATCCACGGCACGTTGGCGTGGCCCTTCTGGTCCATGGATGGCTGCTCCATCTGACACAGAAAGAGATGGAAAAGGAGAAAGAGAAGTAGGAACAAGAGCCAAATTATTTTCAATGACCTGCATATTCTCAGTTTTGAAAACACTTCACATTACTGTATTGATTTTGTACTTTAGGATTCATGTTTTCAAACCAAACAATTCATCACGACACGTTTTGAATGCAAACGGTTTCTGTTGAGAATCGACATTTTACACGCTGTAGAGGAAATTTTCTCATACAACTTCATGCCAATAAAGTCAGTGAAAACAGAGTTAGACGGTAGAATAAGTGAGGTGGAGCATGTGCTGCATACGAAGTAATGTAATGTAAAATAATAACTGAGAGGGAGATGGGATACAGATTACAGATGATCATGGACAGAAGCTCACAGTCTGACATAAAGAAACCCATATCTGTGCATCCTGCCAGTCCTCTACTATTACCATGTGCTGTATTTGCAGCAGTGCACTTCCTGTACATCCTAACAATTTCAGTTGTCAAAGGGCTGTTGACTCTCCTCTGCTACTGCCACTGCGAAGCTTATTGTGGCTTCAAAGCTGAGAAACAAACCAAACAATCTACAATGCTTTCAAAAATAACCCCACGGCAACCAATCAAGAAGCTGGGTTTTGTTGCTGAGGGTGTTTTTCCTCCAATCTATTGGTTTAATTTCACATGATTTTGGGGGGAGGGGCAATGTGACTGTAAGAGCTGCAGTTTTGACAGTAGAAGACTAAATTTGTCTTTGTAGTCTGTCTTATGCTAATTATATACATGAATACAAATATTAAATGCAACTAAATATAAATAATAACAAGCATTAAAGATGTACTTCTGGAGTAAACAGGGTTAATATCAGAGTTCTGCAGTACACTAACAGAGCCATGTTTCTCTTATCTTGTCTGAACACACTGCTACAGCAACAATACAGAAACTAACTACAATATTAATCCAGTTCTCTATCCTCTCCCTCTCACACAACCACAGCAAGACCTTATAATCTTGTTATGGGGTTACAGGATTAAGGACAAACACACTTTCAAACTCACAGCAGCACAACACCATCATGCTTAGTGAAGAACTCATTCAGAGCATCACCGGGATCAGCCTCAAATTCATCCACCACACATGAAGCCACGGACTGAACTATGTCTGCCTTCAAAATAAGTTTTAGATCAACACCCCCTTTTTTTTTGTTTGTTTTTTTTTTTTTTCTGCAGAAGGGTCGGACCGTAAGAACATGAAGTAATGCTGCAGGGACATCCAGAGTGTGATTTGGCTCTGCAGACCTTCAAAGGGCAGCAACCTCGGTTATCCAAGCCGATGCAAAACATGCAATGGCAGTCTATTACACTCAATCATTTTTTGACACACTGTGTACGCTCTTGATAGTGCAGTCGTCTTTTGATGATCCTTTAAAAATTCAATGTGGATGAGGAGGAGAAAAGCAGTGTGGATCAGAAGGGAAATCGCTGTAAAAGTGTAAAAGCTCATTCAAAGCATTCAGTGTAGGTTTTAACAGGCTGAAGTGTTTTTGTAAACTGATTTTAAAGTAGTGGTTATTGCTTTAAACACTTTTTATTTATACATTTACCATCTCAAATGTGCATCTTTAAGGAGGCAGTGTATCCCCCATCCAGCGGTTGAATTGGTGCAGTAGGGCATATAAAAACTGAGGCACTAAAGTCGAGGGCTGCATTCGGCTCGCTGTATTAGCTGTAAAGAAATGAAATGGGTCGGCTTTGCAGGAGTGGCTGAAGTGTCACATCTGCCTGTTTTTATAGCAATGCTACTAACTGTTGATATGGAGATAAAGGTAGTAACCGAAGAATGAGACACATAAACAGTCACTGCAAAGAGAACACACAAGGATGCAGAGCGACAGGATAAAATGGAAGCACTTACAGACGGCGCTGTCTCCTCGACTAAAAGCAAAATCATGTGGAAATAAAGGATAAGAGAAGGAAAAGCGTGGAGGACCTGTGACTGAGCTTTGTGAGGAAGATGGAAGAGTCGAGGGGGAGGAAGAGGAGGGTGGAGAGGAGGCCGGTGAGGGGTGTAAATGTGGCCCAGTGACCAGCGGCTGGAGGGGGGCATGATGACCTACAGGGGCAGAGTTCATATACAGGTCAAAGTGGGCCAGCTCAGCAACACCAACACCGAAAACAACACAGCGGCAAGCCAAAACCACAGCGATGACAGAGCAGCTGCACGGCAACAGGGAAAGGCAACAACACTCCAAAACCAAAGCAAAACCATGGCAACAATATGGCAGCAAAGTCATCGCCCTAGCAACAGCGTGGGACAGCAGCATACTGTAATACAGCAAAAAACTAAAGCAAGAGTAGGCCAGGTTACGCCACATTTATATAGCAACTCAACTGCACTGCAACTGTACAAAACCTCATCCTGCAAAAGCATCTTCACAAGACAGACTCTTAGTCAATTTCCAAAGTAATTTTGCCAATGAGGTGAGGATAGCTCGTGGTTACATTACAGTTCTTGAGGTTTTTTTTTTTTAAAGAAAGTGTAACTTCATGGCTCCAGACCAACAAGAAAATGAATGAATCTCACTTCACTGGGAGGCTTTTTCACTCCTTTTAAGAAACACAAGGTTGTAAAACTCAATCAGACATGGTTAGTTGCATGTATTTCAATCCCATTTCGAAGCTCCACTCAGATTACAGTAACATGCCGATGCTGATCAAAGACAGCGGAGTCATATCAGACACGCTCACGCTCACGAGGGTGAAGTTAAGTGGATGTTGAGGGAGATTTAAAAGCAGATACGCTCATAGACGCAACAGAAATATGAATAGGAGGGTGTGGAGAAACATACTTGTGGGCAGAGAAACAAAGCAACAGTACTTTAAAGCACAGGGGCTTGAGAGGTGCTGCAGGATGGAGATTATGGCTGGCAGGTGGCAGGAATATTAAGTGAATCCTGCAGTATCTTTGCCCTGCTGCACACCACAAGCCATTAACTACAACACACACACACACGAACACAGGGAGGAAAAAGGCAATTAATGGTTAATGTAACAGTCGCAGAGTCAGCAGATTGTGTGTACACATGCCATCGTCCATCATCTCCGTAGGCACAGGACCACACACAGGAGGAGAGCGAACACACAAATATTACATGTGCTCTTTTCTATATTTTCTCTCACTCTGTCTCTCCTCACCGTATCACATCTCACTCTAACTTTAGAAAGTGGGACCATTCCTATGGAGCCACCGATTCTCTTCCATCACCATTTATTTCTTCCATGGCTCACAGTATTTAAGTGGCCTTAAATTTGGTCCAAGCACACTGATATAGCAGCCAGCGTAACTCTATACGGGGCCCTTTAGACACACATGTGCTGCTGTGCCAGCCGACGTGTGGAGGAGGGAAGGTGGAGAAGTGGGTTAGCGTGACTATTTTAAAGCTCTGTCTGGGGTTAATGGGAGGTTGACAGCTTTACAGATAGACTTTGTGACGCTGTGGTTGGAGGAGGTGTAAAGAGAGGGCACACACACGTTTGCACATATAAACACAGAAGTTCATGATAGACTGTTGGACACAAGTATGTGAAATCACAAAGCTAGGGGCAATTCTTTATTGGTACTGACTCAAACTAGACTCAAACTGCTTTTGATCACTCGTAGTGTGTTCGCATTCAACTGATTGCCAGTAGTGGGTGGTAACGTGCAAGGAAGTATAGCAGTTTACCAACAAAGGCCTTGAAGATAGAGGAGCTACCCTGCACACTCCAGCATTTATGATGAGGAGCTCATGGTCTGAAATGTCAATAAATGAATTCTACATGCAGCGCTGCAGTATGTAGGCGTCTTCCACATGAGGATTCCTTATCTTCTTGCGCACACACACACACACACACACACACACACACACACACACACACACACACAGAAAGAGGCGAGCAAAGCAAGCCTCCCCAGAGCTCTATGCAAACAGGCCTCATCAATCAGCCCAGTGTGTACGAGACTGCAGGGACAACAAGACCGAATGGACGCTTAACAGATCAAATATCCACCTACACCTCTGCACACTGTCCGCTGGGGCAAAACTCTCTCTCTCTCTCTCTCTCTCTCTCTCTCTCTCTCTCACTCTCTCTCTCTCTCGCTCACACACAAACACACACACACACACAACGCAAGTGCTCCAGGATAATCCCAGTAAACCAAACTGAGAGCTGAAAACAGCGCAGTTGAGCGGGGATGAGAGACCGGAACAAATCAGAGCAGAGGGATGGAAGTTGTGGACAGATTTCAGTGTAAATGGGACAGAGTTGATGGGATGCTGGTTAGATTTGATTAGAAGCAGATACATAACGGCTAAAACTGAGTTTAAGGGTTGAAAGGTTAAAATCCATCTTAAAACACAGTTCTTCATTTTGGAAAGAACATGTAATCAATATGTTTATCATGAATAATATATAAGAATGTTATCAACCAATTTTCTAAGCAACCATCACAAACAACTGGAGTGGCTGACTTCAGTTTAGGATGGATTTCCCTTCAAACAGTAGTGCAGCTTTGTGGCAGTGATGCTTACAGATTTGCGGATGTTGACGCGAGGTTTGGGGACAGGTTTGCTGGGCTTGCTGTCAAAGCTCTCCGGCAGTGTGGACGATCCGTGGCCGCTCTTCCTGGCCTGCAGGGCCAGCTGGTAGGCCACCTCGAAGGCCTGGCCGAGTGTCAGGATGATCTCATACGCCAGGTTCTGACAAGAGGGCAAAGGCAAACAGGCGTGAGAATAGAATGTGATATTATTCGCACAATGATTATATTGCTTATAAAAACACTCTGATACAGTGTCGGTACTGACCACATCAAAAGCAGTGAAGACATGGCAGTAGTGGTGACTGGACTTGAGGTCTTTGGTGATGTAGGCAAATGTAGACAGATCCTCTGGATCCTGAGCCGCACACGAGATGTTACGAATCTCATGTTCTGCTATGATGTTCTGCAGAGAGAGAAAGAGAAAGGCCAAAAAAAAAAGATAAAGAGGTGCAGAGAGACATTGTTGATTATCTCCAGTGAGCCACTTCATGGAAAAACAAATCTGATTTATTATTCATCTCATTTCACACATCCCAAAACCATAATGACTGTAGCACAATTTTGGTTTGAGAGTTTTCTGGAGTCGCTGAGTTGGAATTTGTCCTCTGGTAATGTCACTAGAGAACAATCAAACTTTGTGTTAATTAAAGCACATCTTGGTGCTGTGAATTATAGAACATCAAAGCCCCAAAAGAAAGTTTTAGTGAAGGCCAACGTTGGAAAAACATAATTCTTTTGTCATACTGAACAGTATCATCTTATCTTTGATGCTATAAAAAGATATTGGCCCATTGTTTGTTTTTGTTAGGTCAATCCACTCCCTCTAGTTGTTTGTTTGTGCACTGGGACTGCAGGTAAGCTAAGAAGATTTACTACTTTCACAAAATGTCCTGGAGAGGTGAATCCAGGTAAAGCTACTGGCCCTGTTTGATTTCCCTTTTTAGTGTGCCATATCCCTTTAATTGATGGCCATCATTATCATTTCTTCCCTAGTATCATTCTCTCTTTGGTACATAAGTTACAGTGTGATCTGAGGACTTGGAGGGAACTGAGATGTAGATTTTGCGGTTGGCTGCTAAATATCAGGATCCACACTGAGGCATGTCTCTGAGCAGGCTAACTTCAGAATGAGTTATGATTGCTTGATGGCCATGTTAGAGGCAGTACCAGCTCATTTTATCTCATATCTGTGAGAAGAGAAGAGAGTATGTCTGACTAACATTTAACTGTTTGGGCAAAGACAGACACAACAGATAGTGGTGTCTAATGTCACCAGCTGGCCACCACGTCGTCATTTTATGTATTACTTAAGTCTGCAGTGCTGCCTAAGGAAGAGCACTAGATTAAAAATGTTCTGTTCTGTTCTAAGTATGCTCATCTTCTGCTGTGTGTGTGCTTTTGTTCATAACAGAGGTTTAAATAAGTACTTTTTTTTGTGCGCAAGCATATAATTATCTTGAAATTGTTTCTCACTGTGCCACGTTTTTAACCACCTGAGGTGGATTAGATTGCCTTACACTTGTGCACGGAAATCACTACCTCATAGAAATAATTGACTTCTCAGTGTCTAAACTGTCTTCACTTAATGTGGCACAGAGACAGAAACTCATTACACATTCACACAGAAAAACACTTTTCTCTGTCTAAGTTGGACACTGGGCGGCCTTCACTCAAATGTCTCTCTGGATGGAAAAAGCAAAGCAGCGAAGACGAACTACTTAAAATTACATTTTTTAAAAACATTCCATTAAGGATTTAATGAACTGAGTAGGGTTGTTATTGATTTTTCTTAACATTCAGCTCATCTATTCCATACCAATTATTGCCTGTTTGTGTTTTGCCCTCTTATTGATTTTTACACCATATAGTTTGAAATGAGTCAGACTGCAGCCAAAGCAGACCTCAGCGCTGCTATGCTTGCAATTTCTGACACCTGTTCAAAAGCCTGACCTTTCATGTGTTATTTGCAGTTGGCGTTACAGGAAGTGAGCTGTGAGTGTTACCTTATTTGTGGCGTCTATGAACTTCACTCCTTTGTAGGACACGGAGAGTACGATAGTCGGCACCTTCTTCATCTGTTCTGTCGACTTCTTGGAGTGCACAAAAACAAAACGGAGACAAAAAAAGAGGAGAGAGGCAGCGATGACTTTTAAGGCACGGCGTACATAAAGTGGAATCAGTTGCAGTATTGAACTTCTAACACTCCACATTTAAGAACTGTAATTAATCCCAGATTAATGAATTCCGGTTGATGGAGATCTCCACTGAATTTAATTACTTTTAGCTTAATACAAGTCTCAAATCCATGTCTTCTAAGTTATGAAAAACAATGAATATAAATAAAGAAAGCATGAAGTAAATGAGCTAATGGATCAGCTGTTTGATTACTTCCTCCTTGATTACCAAAGTCAATTCAAATCATCTCCAAAGGTCAAGGGTTGTCATGAAGAACAACTGCTTCCAAATTACATTTCTAAACCCAATCGACTGCAGCGCCGCGTCCAATAAGTCTATTAGCTTATACACTCCTACTATACATCTCTCCTCATTCTTTTAATTACATATTGCCACTTTAACGTGTGTTTCCATTACCTATATTTAAACTCATTATGCAGTGAGGTGCTGTGGAGAACCGTGTGATATACAGAGATGTCAGCATCACCCTCCAAGCTGTCATTCTACCTGCCAAAAGCTTTAATATATTCAAATAAATCGATGTGAGATGAGTCCCTTTCCTGCTTTCTCTTTATCGCTTCTTTCATCGCTTGTCTCTCAGTATCCATATTTCTATCACGCTCCGTCCTTCCTTTCTCCCCGTTGTCGATTCTACTTGCTGCTATCCTTCTGATATCTTTTTCTTTTCTTTGTTCTGTTTCTTTCCTCCCTCCTCGCTGCGTGTTGCTGCTGCGGTTTGGCCTTGTCAGGATCAGGTAGTGCTGGAAAGCTGACAAAGGCAGCGCTGCCTGGCTTCGCTGGCAGATACCCAGCTAGAGGCTGTGAAGTTGGGATTTAAACATCCACAGTGGAAGGATGGAGGGACAGATGAAAGAATAGATGCTGGGAACAGGAGCACGGGGTAAACAGGGAAGGTACGCTCACACGGTAATAAATGCCAGATTCATACGATGTGTATCTCATTGCACTTAATTACAGCCTTGGTGTGCAGCAAAGGTGTCTCAAACTGAGGAAGGAGAGAAGTAGAAGAAAGAATGATGCCCTCTTATGTGGCAACATAAATATTTAGACAGAAGAAAAGCGGGAGGAGGGGAAAGGAACAGAAAGCTTTGCTCATGAATATTAAAATGTATCTTCACACTGCAGCAGCTCAGGATGAGAGTGAGAGATATGAACTGAGGGCCAGAGGAGAGAGGGAGTCAGTGTTACAGTAAAATATGGAGAGAGTGAGCGAGCAGGAAGAGAAGACATGATAGCAGGAGACAGATAACAGCAGTGAGAAATTGGGGAGAGGAAGAAAAAAATAGAGCAGCAGAATGACACAAAGTGAAAGGGAGAGATAAGGTGATTTGAGGTAAAAGGGGGTTATTGAGACACCCAGGGAAGGATATTAAAAATAAATCCCTCAATACACTTAATCCACCGCCATGATATTTTAAGTTTGTTTAAGTTCCAGTGTGAGTGTGAGGCCACTCAGACTATGAGACTGTGTCCCAGATTTAAAGGTCCTTCCACATGCATTCATGTCCAATTTATTACAACCTCGATCTTATTTTTGTAGCTTCTTTTTCAGACTTTTTTTTTTAGCAAAGTTGCTGTGTCCCCAGCTCCCAACAATAGATGTTTATAATGTTAGTTTTCCTAGCAATAGCAGAAAAAAAGTGTGTTAGGGTGTGCTTTACCCTCATTTTGGCACAAGCGTCTTGTGTGGACTCCGTCCCTCTCAGCTCCTTCACCAGCATGGAGCCCAGGTACTGTGGAAAAGACACACATACAAATGCTTAGCAGAATATAAAGTGAATTATGTGAGTGTGTTGTTATGGCTGTATACAAAACTCTGTCACCATATTAACCTCCTAATGTCTTTATGAAGTCATACTGTGCAGGCTATTCCAACTTAAATTTTCAATTTTAGTAGACCTCCCAAAGTTTGCCAACAGCAGCCTCACATCTGTGAATCTTCAACCAGGAAATCTTTGGCATTTTTGCCTGATAAATAAACAGTGGATTGTTAAAATGGTTGAAATAATAAGGCTTTCATTCAGCTGTGATTTGTTTGTTAGCGGATTAACATCAAAGCTCAACTTTAAACTATTGTTGGTCTAATGTTCCCCTCCCAGATGAAGATGTGTCCCACCTACTTTAAGTTCTCAAACAGAAATGATTGAGACACAGTTAGCAGGGACAGTCATCAGCCGTCAACTTTGCTTCTGCAGTCTCTATTCACAAATACAAAACTCCAACACCATCAGATACAGCACCATAGACCAGTCAGTCTTTACCGACCACTTACTTCCCTCCTTACCATTATCTGACCAGTTTACACATTAAACCCTGATAAGTAACCAGCTCAGCCTGGGCTTTTAACAGAGTCAACAATTGAATGCTCACCCACGACGATGTGGAGGACAAGGAGTAGGAGGTTTTATACGAAGTCTAAAATAACATAAACACCAGCCTTCTCTCCCAAAAAAGAAGAGGACAAAGACACATGAAACTGTTGTTTGTCTTTATTGTCTTGATGAAATAAACTGACAAAAATATAAATGTGTGTATTAATTTATAGTATTAATTATGGAGTATACTTATCTATAAGAAAGAAACCTTTTATATTTTGAGTAATTCACGGGTGCCATGTTTACATTCAGCTGTACTGACATGGAGTTTGATTAAATGCACACAGACACACACACACAGCAGTGCTTACATCCACCTTGAGAGGATCCTGGAGGGACATTAACACCAAAGTGTGGCAGATCCTTCTCTCTGGACAGATATTCTGCACACGTAGTATCTGATTTAATAAAGAAGCTACTAATGGTGACAGTGTTTTACAGGGACAATGTTTATGTCGACATTAGAGCACTTAATGGGTGTGACATCCACCACCTTGCAGTGCCCTTGCTGCCTGTGGAAGAGCCCTTATTCCTTAAAGTGGGACCCTAACAAGGCTTTTAGTGGATTAGACAAAGAATATTTACAGCTTTTTTTATGTCTCATCTGTTTAACTCTACAGCACATGACTCCAAAATTGATTATCTACCCCACAGGATTTATTTTACATTTGATTAGTGATGCATTTGATTATGGAGGCAAAGCAAGCTTTTGGGCAAATTGCTTTGCGTGATGAGTTACTTTTTGTGTAGCACAGACTGTGACTTTTCATTCGGGGAGTCTGGTCCTTGGCAGATCAGAAAGAGGTCATCTGCGCATGTTAATACTTTGTCTTGATTCAAGCTAACAATCTTAAATCGCTGTTATGGCGGGGTTGCTGGCAGTTATCCTAGAAATTGCATTACAGTTGCACACAAGACCAGCTGCTCTCTTGTCTACCGTGTCTCTGTGGCAGTAATTGTTGGTGTACACAAACACACAAGTCTTTTATTAGTTCCAGATAAAATTCAGAGATGTCTGTAGATGTCTAGCAGGACTAAGGTGATTACTCTTTTCATGAAGGGGCAGTCCAGGTTAATGACATTGTTCTTTATAGATTCATATTTTTCTCTACACTAGGTATGAATAAAAAGAAAATAGGCTGCAATTCAATACCAGGAAGAACGCCCTTATATTTTGTATATTGGATGTATCTACAGAAGCTTTTAGATGAATATAAAGGAGCTCAGAGAGTCAATGTTGAGATAACATTGGCTGTTAATGATGTAGAGTGTGGTAATGATGTTAGAATGTCTGCAGGGTTTTTACTGGAAATGGATTTGTAATAACTTCAGATAATATTTTCGAGCTCTGGTTGTAAAGCTGACATAATAAAGTTAAGATGTCATCTGAGGTGGTGCTGAAAGTGGAGGTTTTGTTTATTTCGAGCCCGAGATGAAAATGAGAACAGCGCTGATGCATCCTTTATTCCAGTCCTCTTGGCTTTTTACCATCCTGCTTTCTCTATTAACACAAACACAATACACTTCTCTCTTTCCTCACTCCCTCTCATCACTGTCTTCTCCATCTAATTTATTCTTATTCACTCTCTGTCTCCCTCCAGCTTGCCAATATTCATACTGAGCGCTCTGCCTCTCCCTCTGTTGTGGCTCCCGCTCATTTATCTCACTTTCTGGAGCCCGTTGTCCTGGGACAGCGAGCATTAGAGATGTTGTCATAAACGGCTCCATGAAAGCACCTCCATATTTTCCCTCGATGGCCCACCCGTTGTGCGTTCCCCCACCATCCACCCAAAACACATTGCCTGTGTAGTTGTACATCTGTCAGAAGCCTAATGGTCCACAGTGTTGCTATCAATCTTCTGAGGTGAGAAAACGAATAAGGAGGGATTTGACTGAGGGAAGACACGCTCTTGGGATACTTATCTCTTATTCAATGCCTGTATCTCATCTTTCTTGCTTTCATTCATATTTGATTTCAGCATCACATTTGATTTCTCCTCTCTTCGCCCTATTTGTTTTTCAATCTCTCTCCAACTATCTTCTTCCTTTGCCCTTCCTGCTCTTACTTAATCATCTAGCTCACATCTTACTGCAGGTCCTCACCGCATAGCTGCAGAACCAATCAAAACAAGCATTTCTGAGATACCCAATTACATCCCTCCCTTTGTTTCTGAGAGCCAATGGCATCTCATAATTGCCTTTCTGCACAGTTTTACCTGCTCCAACTAAGTTCCCTTTGCAACCTGGATGCTGAGCGTATAACCAATCAGAGGTTCAAGGCTGTATCCGTGGTAACGTGGATATATAACATCCTTTATGTAACTGGCAAAGGTCTAAATTTACCAAAGCGCTGAGCATAACTGAGTGCAGTATTGACTGAAAGGGTGAAGTTGAGGGTCATTGATCTTCAATCTTATTACCTTAGGTCTACATGCAAATACACATATTTGAACTGTGAATACACACACACACACACACACACACACATACACACACACACACACAAGTGAAGTGAGGTGAAGGGGTAGGACTCACGTAGGCTTCATAGTCACAGGATTGAAAGATGAGCTTCTCGGGGTGATGCTGCCAGTACTGCACTGGAGTGGACGAGGTGGCCTCGTTCGGCGGACGCAACGTGATCGGCTCGCACCACTCGCCTGCCTAAAAAGACAACCAATCGCACGTCAGGACACAAGCCAGATCACACAAGATTATAAGATAGGACATGACATCAAGGGCTTGGTCTGTGTATCCCATGTTGACATAACTCGTTGGCCAGATAAATGTGTGTAAATTCATAATGTAACAGCTGGCTGAACATGAACATGCCTTCAAACGCCACACTTCCGAGAACATCCAAGAGGAAATTAAACTTGGATGAATTATGCTTGGCCTCTGAATGTTCCCATTCTTTAGCTCAGTTGAAGACTCTTTGCAGCCGCTGCTAACCGCTTTTTCACCTTTTACACAAAGGAAATACCAAAATCCTATCTGCATACTTCTCAAATGTCTGCGGATAACAATTAAGCTTGTTTTATGGTCTTTCATTCTTCAGTAAATGAAACCAGATGATTTTCTGCATACTGAGTAATGCATGCAGCCTGTGACTGTATGTTTATGTGTCCATATCTGATTGCTTTTGTGTGTAATTCCATCACATAGTTGGTGAGGCACAGTAGAGGTGAGATCTGATGATCAGATGTTGGATTAACAGCCTGGGGATAAGGCTTTAGAAACAAGCGATGGCCGAAGCTACGCTAAACTCAACCAGCTTAACAGCATTACACCACTTTTTCTCACACCCTTTGACCCTGCTTGGGACGGACTCAGCTACAAATCTTCAGTTACTAAACGTTTTTATGTCCTATCTTAAGGACCTAAAGAAATAGTGTAGAAAAAAGTCAGCTGTTACACTTACAAACAAAAAAAAGGGGATAGATTTTGTGAGGTAACCAATCATAGAAATGTGGCGACAGTCAGAGAAGAGGGGTATTCAAATCGAAAATGAAGATATTTCGTCTTTTCTAAAATAGTTATCCTTCTATTCTGGCAAAGCTGACTCATCAATGCCACCTCAGAGCGTTGTTTCTAAAAAAAGGGGGGGGATACACTGACGCACACACACTTAAGAGATTCAGCAGGGTAACCATAAGTGTGTGGTAGTCTGCACTGATAAGCTCTGTGATTCACACAGAGACACAAAAAGACCCTAATCATACTGAATCAAAACACAGCTGCTACCTCAGATGCATGCACACGTGCAAGTGTGTGTGTCTGAGTCATTGTGCTGTTGCTGATTGGAAGTCATAAAGTTCTAATTTTGCGTTTGGATGGGAGTGAAATTGCTGAAAAGTTGAAACACTTGTTTATGCAGAACTATTAAGGAGTTACATCTTTGATGTTTGAGACAGACTACTGGAGATAAACATTTATTTGTAAAGCAGTAGTTTATGCCTGATTGCAGTTTGCATATTTTAGCATTTTATAGCACAAAGTTTCAGGCAATTTATGTCTTATTTCCTTATTTGTAAAATTTATATGAGCTCTAAACTGCAAAGAGGGCTGCTGGTGTCAGATGGTCTCCATGTTGCAGATTATTAATGGGAGATTTTCAACAACCAAATAGGCTGATAAAACACTTCTGGCTTGCATCTTGTGGCTATTAGGGACCAGCATTTAATTACTGAGATACTTCAGTTATGATTAGGATATATTCCATCGTCCTGATTAGAAATGTGAAAGCTTATTAGTTTATTATTGTTTGCAATTTGTGAAATTACAGGATACAACTTTGAAATATTAGAAGATGTGTTTGTTACCAAACTCATCCTTTAATCATCCATCCATCCAACTGTATCTCTGACTAGAACCATTCATAATACCCTCCCCTTGAGTCCATCCCTCTCTCCCAGTCCCTGCCTCCATTCATCCCTCCAACCTGTCCTCCCTTCCTCACCATGCTGACTTGGGCCATCTGTCGCTCCAGCTTGGATCGCGGCACGTCCTCAAAGTAGTTGTCATTGCTGCGCTGCCTGCGCCGGGCGTCCGCCTGCATGATGAGGTGCTGCACGTCCAGAGATCCACCCGGGACCCCCGCGGCGTACGCTGCCTGGCCCACCGACGGGCTGAGCTGGGGAGGAGTGTGGTTTCCGCCGGGCTCCTGGGACAGGACAGGTGGGGTGGGGGAAGGAAGCAAGAGAGGGTTCATTCATCATTTCATAATGTGCTGTGTCACTGCTGCAAGTACAATAAGTAGGGCAATTGCATTCGCTGTGCACTGTCACATTTTATTTTTCAGCTACTGCTGAGTAATAGTATCCAAAAGTGCTTTGTATAATCAGGACAAAGACACTGTCCTGTTACAAGAAGGTCTCAGCAGGTCCATCAGCACAATTGGCCGTAAACACAACACTGAAGCTCGATCCCTAAAGTGGAAAATTAAGTTCATTTAAGAGGTTTTTCCAAGCTGAACGCAGACTTAAATTCCCCAAAGAATTAGAACTTTTATATGTTTTAATGGTCTAATGGTCTTACACACTCGAAGGTCAGCTTATTTCTCCTGAGAGGTTATTCACTTTCAGCTGATTACATATGCGAAGGGTCTCAACAGAAGAGGCTTATTTCTGGGCTGCGGAAGCTGAAGTGTAAAAACTTTGCATTTAAGTTCTCATCCTGAGTCATTGTCCTAACACACTCAGCTGTCAGCCACGGTTTGTACTGTATTACAGAGTAAACACAGCCCTCTGCTCACACACTGGAAGCTGCTTAAACACATCATTTTACGCTGTATTAAGTATAATCTTGCTTTTCTTCAATTACTTGCCAGTGGCATCTCTTTTCTTGAATTGAATTTTCTTGAACGGAGTTAAATTAGGGCTCAAACAACTAGTCGATAAATCGATTTGTTGATCGAGAAGGTCCTTTATCAAGCAGAGATGCCAAACATTTGCTGCTTTTCTCTGTTTGTATTATCTCATTCTAAGGCAATTTTCTTTACCCCAGTGATGATTTTTACACTTTTTATGAGGCTCAGCATGTAACTGAAGTTTTCTGATAGAAATGTTGAGACACAGTGGACAGTTTAGGCTGTTTCAAAGGTACAGAAAGGGGCAGAATTGACCAGGACGACACATTAAGCGTCATCTCAGAAGCAGAAGGCCTCCTTTAGCTCCACAGTACAAAGAGCAAGAGACTATTATAAGGACATTAGAGCGTAGCCCCAATGGGAGAGGGAAAGCCAGTTCCTTGTGATTAGTATCCAGGACAAGCCGGCAGGGAGGAAACTGCAGTGGGTCGGCCATTTTGTGCCTGCCTGAGAGATTTGGGTAATCAGTTGGGTGGTAACTGCAGCAGTGGGGAGGCTGTGGCTCCCTAAGAGAAACACACGGCCATCTGGGAAGAAACTAGTGCCTTCCTTCTCTGTCTGATGAATTCATAGTAATTTCAATACATGTTGCTTGAGGGTTTTTATGGTTCAAACAACACATGCTGTCTGCTCACTCACCCTTAGGGAGATGGCCCGCGGAGGTTTTTGTGGGGTGTCTTCGTGTAGCCGGTCCCCCAATGAGGCCAAGATCCGTTTTCTGTGTCCGATGAGACTGATCTTCAATACCTGGATGAATACACAGATATAAGACATTACAGTTCAATAAATGAAGATAGTAGTAGTAGTAGTTTGTAGGTGTTGTACACAGAAAATTAATAATTTAAGTTATTTATCATGAAGAAAGATATAGATTTGCTATATCATTTAAATTGAATATCTTTGGGTGTTGGACAAAACATGCAATTTGAAGACATCACCCATGGATGATGGAAGACACACTAAAGCACAAGAATAAATTAACACTGACTGTTTTTTGTGTTCTCTGTAAATACACTGTGCTCACAAAAAAATGATGACTCTCACTTTCATTAGCATAATTTAAAACAGCTTTTACAAAGAGCAAGAGTTCAAAGGCTTTCAGACTGGATAATAACGAGATTATATCTGCAAAAAAAAACTGCTTAAAAGGTAACAGATTATCACCATCATCATCATCATCATGAGCCTCAAATGAAAGATAATGCTGCTATCCAGAGAAGAGTTTCACAGAGAAAAACACCGGCGTTCACTGCAGAGCACTCAGGGAAGTACTAATGAGTGCATAATGACATAAAATGCCCCTGAGCACATGCATACATCATGTTATTATTATTATTACATAACCGCCATAGCTTGGATGGCTGTGTTGAAGCTGTTAGTCGTGTTGTTACATTAACATGCTCATAGAGTGATATATAGTTCCTTTAATGTAAAACACATAACAGCAAGTGAAGTAAACACACACAAAGATCATAAAAAGAGAGAGAGAGGGAGGGCAGGGACAGACTGATTCAATTAACTGCTGCTCTTGTAGTAACTTACTACTCTGTTCTTTTCTTTCAATCAAATTAAAAAGAATCTAATATGCCCTGAAGCAGAGTATACAGTAAGAGATGTAGACTTGGGACTCGAGTAACTTAAAGCAAAAAGCAAATTAGAAGTTTTGACCTGTAAAATCCTGGAACATTAAACAATTGCTATAAATATTTAATAATCAGGCCTAAGGATTTAAGGGACTTGGTCTCAGTTATCTAAATAAATACTAACAATTTCAAAAACAAAACTACGTCATTTTAATGATCAGAATTTTGCCCCAAAAGATAGGATATATGGCCTGGTCTGACCTAAAATTGAGAGAAACATATATATAATATCTGCATGTTTTTCAGAGAATATGTATAGAAACTTAACTCTAACACAGTAGCTAGCCAGGCGAGCACTTGCCAGTCAAAACAGCTCTCAAACTTATTTCTATTTTCTCTGTAAGGAAAATCATTACCAAACTCATCCTTAAAGCATTCATCCATCCAACTGTATCTCTGACTATAACCATTCATAATACTCCCTAACAGGACTGTCTGTCCATACAATTCACTCAAAAGACACATTTTTACCATCGCCTCATGTCTCATAATCCATTCCTCTTTTGTGGAGCAGTTTATACTCAGACAGAGGCGGTTCAATTAAAGTGAATGGTGCAACACTGCTACAAAGTTATGATAGCTATAAGCTAAGCTAATTGCCACACAGCTCAAGTTCCATACTTAGAGCACACACACGCACACACACACACACACACACACACACGAGAGGTATTGATCTTCTCATCTAACTCTCAGCAAGAAAGCGAATTAGAGTATTTCTCAAAATGTCAAACTATTCCTTTGAAAGATTTCTAAGATTAAAACTAAAAGTGAAAAGACCAAACACAAACCAAAAGTATTAGTATCAGATTTTCCAGTTCTTTGTTAAGGGCACCATTTGATAAAACACTGTTAATGAGAGCCGAGAGCAATGAAATGCAAATTCAACAATATCAGATTGTGGCAAATTTGTAATAGTCTATTGATTTCCCCCAGGCGCTCATTACACGGGCACAAACAGAGACAAAATACACATACACACTTGGACTCCAATGAAAGCATTCATTCTTTCTCTGGTCACCAGGCGTCCACTGACTGTGCCAGTTACTGGGTTTTCTAAAGAGATGAGCTGGAACATGGCAGCCTTCTGCAGGGATGTTGTTTGCACCTTCTGGCACCCATACTTCAGTATACAACAAACTTTTGCCCGGTTTTATGGGCCTGCCTCTGGAGGTCTTCCAATAAAGGTATGTGTGAGTCTGAGTGTGTCTGTGTGTGTGTCTCTTCAGGGCAATAGGTGGTAATTAGCCTCAATGTGAGGCCTTGCTGCGAGTCTAATGATTCTCCCAACAGTCTTGCTTTGAGTCAGCACAACTCACACACAGATACACACATACTTCATCATCTCTCGCACCAATTACTGCCCCACATCTGCTAGAGAAACATTAAAATACAAACTAACAACAAGAACAGTGTCGTAGGATGCACATACTTTGGTTCAATGTCTGTGTGCATGAACCTAAACACACAGACAGAACATGAATAAATCAAACCTAACCGTAATGAATAGTGTATGTATGCATACTGCATGTAAACAACTGATATATAATGTATCAAGCAAGCTCCAAAAACGCTAAAGACCTCCTCTTGTTGTTTTCTGTGATTAGTAGGTTTCATAAATTAAATTTTATGTCATACAGTGAATAAGGAAAAGGGACGATGTTAAAAAAAACATAGCAGCTACCAACGGGTTAAACGACACCCTACGCTGTTCTTCTCTGCATGGAAACAATGTATTTTAATTGTTAAAATTAGACGGATCAAAGGGAAACAGAGAGCAGAGCTGGGACTAGCGGGTAGTGGAACTAATTGGCATATTATGGCCGCCCCGTGCTCCCTCCACCAATTCTTACTCACTCATCTTTCCCCTCCTCTATTCTCCTTCTCTTCTGGCTTTCACAGCTCGCTATCTCTTTCTCTCTCTTACACACACACACCGTCCTTTATGGACACACAATGTCAGCGATACTACAACATCTCTGCCTCCATCAATCTGTGTCTGTCTCTTTGCACTAAATTGGCATTTGACATTGGCTCGCTGAATTTGGTGCATTAAGACCATGTCATTTTGAGAAAGAAATACTTGCTTCCAATGCAAACAAGTCATATCATTAAATGAGAATAAGTTGTACTGCGCCACTGGTAAAAAGAAAATTTACACTATATATATTCTTGTAATGATTAAACTAAATTTAAAACAGGTGACATTATATACATCTGTCTCATTCTAAGGCTTTTAAATAACTTGTTTAGTGTGTAGTGTAGTTTTTTCTTTCAGCCAGTGTAAATGTAATGAAATGATAAGGCAATTCATCAATGAGTTCATAGAAAGAAAAATAATTTGCAATTCTGAGAGTTGAAATTTTAAAGATTTGGTGACTTTTGATTGAACTATAAAACACACAAAATGACCTAGATATTGTTTTGTTTTTATGAAGTACAGGTTATGATATATTCATTATTATGCTGCTGTGTCTATCCCTGTCTGTCTCCTGAGGGACAATACCGTGACACCACACTGCTGTTTCATCACATACAGGACACACATACTCCAGAAGGAGCACAGTAATTGCCTAGCATAGTGCGTATCTATGTGTGTGTGTGTGTGTGTGTGTATATCTGTGAGTTACACTTTGTCTTATGCAACAGCATCTACTTCAACTACAGTAGAAGCCTCAACCTCAGCTTGAAGTTCAACTGTCACCATGGCAACACAGAGCCGCAGCAGCAGTAGTCACCCACACACACTCATCCAAAAATAAAATAAATAAAATCCACATGCACGTGGATGTGTACTCACACACACACACACACACACACACACACACACACACACACACACACACACACACACACAAACAGCTGTTTCGGCCTGGGGAAGAAGATTATATTGTTATCCCTGAATGGGTGAGAATTTGAATGCAACCCGACCATTATTGTTAAAACACAAACTCACACTCTCACTCTCTCTGTGATGCTTGACTGCAGTATCGCCCCATTTGCATTTAAATTATATTCACAGCAGCTGTATATCCTGACAGGAGAAGTGTCGAGCTACCACAATGTACACCCTCTCTGCACCCCTTTCCTCTCTTTCCATACATCACACTAACCACGCATTCATTTAAGCTCAATCCTATTCAAATCAACTCAAAAAGCTTTCTGAGTGATCATGCTCTCGTTCTTCCTCTCTCTCTTTGCGGTGTCATTGAGTGGCAAGAGCATCCAATGAGGGTTACTTACCCTCTGGTCTTGATTTTATTTTTTCTTTACCAGTAGTATGAAGTGATTTGGGGCGCTGTTTGCCTCTAGTGTCTGTCTGGGCCGCTGTGTTTGTGTCTTCTGTGTGTGTGTGTGTGTGTGTGTGTGTGTGTGTGTGTGTGTGTGCCGATCAATGCACTAATCCTGTTAACAGTCCCGTTAGCCCAGATTGAACAGGCTTGATTAACGGATTAGCCACCACACATACGGCTAACGGAGCTGTGCTTTCTCACAGCCATCCCCCTCTCTCTGCAGCCTGCTGTCACTACGACGAGAATTTAACAAATAATCTGACTTCTTGGAATTTAAATATTTGTTTGGTTTTGATTGTAAACTGTCCCACCCTCAAGTTATTTCATTTAGCAATGAGTTGTAAAAAAATGTAAGAGCAAACCATCTTCCTGTGGTATTGAGATTATTTCACTTTCACTGCAAATCAGATCAGATCTTTTCCTTGAATCACCCTCTCCTGAACACACTGACCTCTTTAAACACAAGAGTGACCACAGAATAAGGACGACAGCTGCAGCAAAATTACATTTTTGCAAAGAGACCAGTGCAACAATAACGGGTAAGTGGAAAGCGTCAGTGATTGGGGACATTAACAACGACCTCTCTCAGTCAGGACACTGGAGACAAAAAGCCTTTTCTCTGTTTCCCACTGGAGGGGAGGTTGGAAGCTGGTCGACTCACTGGAGCATAAAACCCAGTGAGGGAAACAACAGTCCAGTCACTGTCTGTGCTCAAGCTAGCACATAGTTTTAATGATGGAGAAGGAAGGGACTGAAAATGCTTTCATCAGTCTCTCTGCTCCTTTTTAAACTACATTGACTTGTCTAAATA